TTTGTTTTTTTCAAAATTCGCAAGTTTTGAATGCTAAGTGAATTTAATTATTTTTAAAATATAAATCGTGTAGTTGTAGGTTCACTGGTGCATGTATTCCGTTCCAGAGACTTAGGAGTACATATTAATCTGTGTGATGTTCACGTTTTTTAAATTTTGGTCTTTACAGACATAAGTTAATTCGAGATGGCGATGCGTGAAATACGCATCGCCCTTTGGTGCTTTTACAGTAATATGGAACTCAACTCTTCCGAACTCTCTCTTTGCAATCAGACATTCGTCCGGAGCAATTCGGGAAAAAGACACTAGGTAGAAAGTCAATTCTTCCTGAAAATATCGAAAAAGAGCTGCTGGAATATATATTGTTGATGGAGGTCATATTTTTCTATTAAAAAGCATTTTTGCGATAAAATACATTGGAGTAAATAATTTTGTAATTATTTAACATTTTTTGTCCTTTCCTATTGGCTACATTAAAGCATTTTTTGAAAATATACAGTAAGGTTCTACATTACTACCCGATTTTCTCTAGGCCTACTTTCGGACTTTTTGTACAAAACCCTTCAAAAACCATACTTATAATTACACTAGCGAAAAATCCAATTAGGAACACTTAGTTTACTAGTTACCAGTACTTTTCGCACGAAAAATGTGGGTGTAGTTATAATACCTTGTTTACAATTCACTAAAATGTAATTGGGGTTCCATAATACCACCTTCTCCTCTATATTAAGATCTCACTAAAAGCCGCAAAAAGTTGTACATGGCACTAATACTATAGGTCTTGTCTGAGATGCAATTTTTTGTCAAAATCTCTGTAGTGTCTTCAACACAATTTCTTGCAATATTTTATTATACATTCTTTCATATTTTTCTATTTGCAACAGATTGCATTCTCTGTTATTCTTTGTTTCTTGATTTTTCCGTCGAATGCCACTTTTTAATTCAATTTTTATAGTTTCGATTGATATTACTCTTATTTTTCTGAATTTTTTTATTGTCATATTGTATGTACTACAATTAAGACAAAGTATGTACAATAATTTTAGGTTCGGTCTAATTTATTCTTATCAATTATTCTAGTACGTAAGAAATGTGTGAATATTGATATTATAAACAAACATTGTCTTAGATATTGTAAATATTAATTTTTATTATTTAGTTTTATCAGTAAAATTAGTATAAAATTAAAAAAATAAATACAATAGAAATGATAATTAATTGTAAAAAACATCGCAAGATGGCACTACGAGTAAATATAATTCAAAATTAAAACTTTTATATAAAAAATAGAATATAAATATATCAATAAATTTGAAGTTTAATAATCATTTTTACAACATTTAGTAATAAAAATTATTTCTTTAATAAATAATATTGAGGGGTTTTATGTCCGAAACGTACAAATGCCACGTATCAACTAAAAGGAGATGGAAATAGAGCCAAGTGTTTATTAAAAACTCAATTTTGAGTTCGACGTCTAGCAAATTTATCTAACACGGTTTCAAAGACAACATAAATAATATTTCATTCGCAATTACATTTTATTCAGAAAATTTTTTGACAAAATCTTTTGCGAAATATATTAACAATGATTAATTCATTATTAACATTTCCCGAATTTTAATACATTTCTCTTCTTATAAATGAATGATTAAATTTATTTAGATCCAAAGACGCTGTAATTACAATGTACAGTATTGTATATCTCGTATTACAATCTTGTTCTTATGTTTACTGTATTTTTAGTTCAGAGCCATCTGTTGTTAAGAGATTTAATTATTCAATTTGATTAATAAAATTATTAACTTGTAATATAATAAAATATAACACAGTCAATATAATAAAATAAATTTCATTGACAACTTTTTAATTATTAAGATAATGAATTTTTAAGATTTATTAAGATAATGAAGATTTTATGACTGATAAAATATTTTAAATTATTTTTATTACATAAAAATAGTATAAAATATTTTATCAGTCGATTTTAATTATTTATGTTATCCTGTTAGATCTTTTCCCCCATTTTTTAAATTAAAAAATAAGTTAAAGTTTCATAAAACAGAAAGCCTCTACCAATTATAAATATTTTAATTTAAAAATAAAATAAAATAAGATATTATCATTATTTGATTATTTAATGTTTATTGTTTCAAAAATAAATTATTTTAAAAATTTCTGAATATTTTAGTAAATACTTTAAATTAGTCTACAGAATTTTTTTATTTGTAAAATCTTTAAATTATAAAATAATAAAAAGTTATAAAAAATTTGTTAAATAATATAGTATTTACGAAAATAAATTTTCACAAATTATATTTAAAATTAAACTAAAATGCGTAATATTATTTTAAATTTATATACAGTAACATTCAATTAATTATTTTAATTTTTATAATTTTCAATTAATTTTTTTATTACTTTTTAATTGCAGAAATAAAATTTAAAAATTTATTTATTTGTTTATTTATTTTTTACTTTTGCTATTCTGTAGCAAAGGGGGCGTAGCATTTCAGTGATTGACGCCTTCAAGATGGCGGTGTTTGAGAAGAAGAAGGAGAGTAAACTGAATTTAGATGACACGCAATGTTTAACATGCACTATCGAAGCAGCTGAAAATGTACAAGACTTTACGGTAAGCGATTTGTGCGTTATTTCCTAAAGTTTTGATAAGAAATAATTAATGTATTTCGTGTAATTAAATTATAATGTAATCATAACAAGAAAATGCCTTTTACTTAATTGTGGTTTATTAAAATGATTAATTAAGTATTAAATGGATAAAGTCTATTATTTTAACATTTCATTAAAGTGTATTTTAATTAAATTTAACTCTAATCTGTAAGAAAGATTTCTGTACCTTAATTAAAATTAATATCAATTCATTTGGATTTTGATCATTCTTTAATTAATAAATAATTAAAAGAAAATACAAATATATAATTAAAAAAATAATAATAATGAAATGAGTGATCATTGTACTATATTATGCCTTTTGATTGAAATTTTTGTATTAAATTAATAAAAAATTATCATCATCATTTGAAAGTTAATAAAATGAAATGGCAACAAAATAGTTGAAGCAGCTGAGCATGTGCCTGCCTCTGAGGAATCCAGATCCAAGTTCAGCTTGGATGCTTTTTGCAAGTGACTTGGCTCTATTGTGTTGAGTCCTATTTCTTGTCACCTGATTTTGCCATTGTATGCCAAGTTGAAGTCATTGGCTGCACTTGGCAGATTCAACAGTAACTGAGCAAATCGGTAGCTGTTATGTAGCAACCTAGATTTGCTGAATGACGAGGGATGTTGCGTTGGAACAAAAACCCTCATTAGTCAGTTTTGGATAGCAATAGGTAGCATAAATGAAAGGTACTACCAAATGTGACATCAAAACACCAAACGTGTCCTGAAAGAGCGCTACTGTAGAGGGCGTTCTGCAGAAAAATACTCAACAGCTCCAGAACTGTTGTCTGCTGAACGCATCCATTATGGGCATAATAATAAGTGTTTCTTAGGACAAAGACTTAAAAAAACAAAAAAATAATGCAGTTGTCTTCATAAGCAAAATGATTTTAGCACTTTTTTACAATATCTGCTTTAGATTTTTGTTTGCAGATTAATATATATGTTTTTCTGATATTTATCATCCAATTAGATCTATTCATTCCTATAAGCTTACTCTCCTAACATTTTATATAAGATATCGAAGCAAGTTTACCAAATAAAATAAAGAATCACATCGTCCGCGATGATTACTGATCTGATCTATGTATTTTTAGTAATTATAATTGTGTCTTTAAGAAGCACCTCAAAGTGATGAGAAAATATTTGAGTTTTTCTTAATGTTTTCTTTAATCTTCAAAAGAATATTGCTATACCACAGTGGGCTAATATTTCACAAAAAGGCATTAAATCGTTTACCTGTTGTTTAATTTTACCAGTATTAGAAGTATAAATGTAGATCTGTTATGAATTAGATAAGAAAATATCTGTGAAAACAGATATATTTAATCTATATCACATACATAATTTAAAATAATTTATTTACTGATAAAATAATATGAAGTAAATTCTGTGATTTTATAATATGATTTGTTAGATTCAAGGCTTTCTTGAATTATTCTGGCTAAAGAATATATAAACTCTTTAATATAATTATGCTATATTATATAAGACCATTTATTTAAAAATTCTTTGTTTTATAAATATTGGTGAATTCTAAATAAGAATTCAAAGAATAATTTGTTTTTTGAGACTTAAAAAAGTAGTAGTTTGTCTTTCTAATCAACGTTACTTGAGTTAGTTTGATTGTGGTAAAATAAATTAGATTGGAAAACTGACTTAGACATTTTTATTTGTTTTGACTTAATTTACATAAATTTTCAATTGCAAACCAGCTAGAACACTCCCTATTTACAAATTGCTACAAAATATGCATTTCAGACTTATCCTTGATGTAGAATTTGCTTCTTTTCAATTTTTTTTTTTTTTTTTCACTTTTAGTAAGAAAGATGTGTTCTAACTGTTTTACAATTGATAATTTATGTAAATTAAGTCAAAACAAAAAATATATATAGACTTACAACCTTAACCAATGTCTAGAAATATTTAGTATGTTTGACATGTTTCATTGCTATCTTATGTTCATATCAGTAATAAAAATCAAACTTGATTTTAAGCATTATTTTCTAATAAGAATGCATATCTTAGCAAATAACATAAAATTTTTAAAAGCTTTATGTAGTAAAGTATTATAAATTTTTTATCATACAAATAAATCATTTAATGACATGAAAGAATGGTTAAAATTGAATCAGTGATCTGACGAGGAAGCAAAGCAGCTTGAAAAATGTTTATCAGAGTTAGTAGCTGACCTTTTTAAAATAGGTTTGATAATTTTAATAATAATGCATCTAATAAATTTGTTTTATGAAGAAAAAAATCTGCTATATAAAAATATTTTAACTTATAGAAATACAATTTAAATTTAGGAATATAAAAATGAAATATACAGGGTGATCATAATTAAAGAGTAGGCATTTAGAATTCTGGATAAAGAACAACTGGGCAAATCTCAATCAAATTTGGTTTACATACTATTTGTATTTTCAGGAAAAAAATTTTACTTCAAAATTAAATTGCTAGAGTGAAATTTGGTGCTGATATTCTTCTAATGTGCATATTATGTGTTTTTTAAAATGAATTTTGAGTATAAAAGGAGTCATAAAATGTTCTTCACAGTTCTTTGGCAGGTCAATAGTCATGGTACACACTTTGTCTGATTAATATTTTTTTTCTATCAGTCTTTCTGTAGTAAATTCTGCAATTTTCACTTCACTAAAACCTCATTAGAACTTCTTTCCCTCTTCTTCACTATTGTTTTTCAACTGGTAAAGAACTGTACTCAAAAGAGTGGGTGAGCTTGGAAACAACTAATGAGTTTCAAGTTCATAAGTTGTCCTAATTAATGCATTGTTTTTAATGTTAAGTTTTAAAATCATAAACATTATTTTAATAAAGCTAAAAAACTGTTGCATAATCCAAATTAATTCTAAACCAGAATGCATGCAAACATAATAATCAGTTCATATTTTTATTCTCTGAAAATTTTAACATGCAACAGTTATTAGCTTTATTAAAATCATAATTATGATTAAACCACTTAACATTAAAAACAATGTACTAATTAAATTAATCATAGTATTTTAATATAATTGAAAGCATTTGTATATTAATAAAAGTTGCTAAAATATGAAAGTTGTATCATACACAAATTTAGACTAGCAAACTTAGTTATTAGCAATATACTTTGTTAGTCTTCTTTCTATTTTGGTTATTTAAAGCACTTGGAAGAGTTCTCTTGGAGGAATAAAAATTTGATTATGAACAGTGTATTTTAGGTTTTTATTGAATCTATAAAAGTGTTTAATGATATAGTAGTAAATATTTAATCAAAAGTATGACCTTAATTATTTCTGAACTATAATAAGGAATGGTAAAACATCATTTATGAAATATTACTATAAATAAAATATTAGATTTATTTAATACAGTAACAAACCAATTATCTGCTCTCTGAAATCTGGAATTATCAGAAAACAGACTAGTTTTGAATTTGGTAGGCTGTAATATAGCTGTAGTTTGCTATGTAGCTGCATTTTGCTTCCGTGATGTATGCGTCACGTGACCCCAGTTCCATTATGTTGTTTACTTTCCTTTCTTTAATTTTCAACCTAAATATTACACTAACACAGTATTCTACATTTTAAGAGGATTAATAATGATGAAACAGACATTGCTTTAGAAGTGATTAATTTGTATCTGTTAAATACAATTTCTGTTCTTAACTTTCCATTGTTTAGTTTAAATTTTACGTATATATTTAGCATGTATCCAGAAAACAGGAAAATTAGAAACTGGACTACCACCCTTTCCAAGTTTGCCAGATGAGTGGACTGTCACTATATTTAAGAAATAATGCTGTAATTATGCACTAATATTGTAATTTCAATATTCAGGTCAATCATTTTGCAATAGTAGCTTTATTAATAAAAATATGTTGTTTAAAAGAATCATAAAAATGTAAAAACATATTTCTTTCATGACAGAATAGTTCCAAGCAATAAGAAGCATACTTATATCAAGCCTTTCTTTGCAGATATAATTTTGAAGGTGCTGGAGTTTTTGTTTGTCTTGCTTATAGCTTATGAAGTGATGATGTAAAACTTGCATATTTGTAAAAAACACAAATATATTTTATTGTGACAGTATTGACTGAAGTGTTGTGACAAAGAGAATAAAAACTGGCTCCTTCAAATATCTGCAAAGAAGAGTTTGATGTGATAGTTCTAGTTAATAAAATGGACGATTTCATCATTGAAGAAATGTGTTTATATATAATTTTTTTTCCTTTAAATAAAAAGAAAGAACTATGTTCTTATTTAAAAGTTAAATTTTTATTTTAAGAAAAATATGTTATATTTTAATATTTACATTTATAATGAAATATAGTAGCCCTTTGTTATATTGCACCTTGTTATAATGTTAATTTGGATATATTGCATCTTTTTTTGTCTTCCAACTATAAAAGCACTTTAAGCAATAATTTAAAAAAAAATGATTGCTACTGAATTTTGCAGAGTGCGAATGGTTGCAAAGAAATATTACCTTATTCTAGTCATTGATCTTGAAACTATCATCTTATAAAATACAACCTACAAAAAATAAGTCAGCATGGAGATTGAAAATAAATAAAACAGGTGGATACATTGGTTATATTGTGCCGTCTCATATATTGCTCATTTGATTTGTCTCCTGGCATGTGTAATATTATGAGGGGCTACTGTATTATAACAACTTTTTCATATTAAAATTTATATAATGATGTAAAAAAATATAATAGAATGAGATTTTTACCACTTGGTGCCAGATTATAAAACCACATGATATAGCAAAAATGCTTGTATTCAATAATGATTCTTATGAAGAGAATATGTTATCACTTAACTAAGATCCAATTTTCTAGTTAATTCTAGTGTTATAGATATTATGGACTTTTATGAAGAAGTAAGCATCATTCTAGAAAATAAGAAAGGACACTATGCATGTAAATAAAACTTTGTAAGTAATATCCAGTTCTGTAAAGATCATTATGGATTATTTGTAGATTTGTATTTATTATGTGCCTCTTCAACTTGAGAAAATTATTGAAATGATTTCAAATTTGTAAGAAATAAAGATGACAATTAACTATATAATGATGAAGTGCTATAACAAGAATTTCTTATAAAATAGATTTTTTATAACTTTTTATATCTTCTACAGAATATACAAAAATTTATTTCAATCAATAATTTTGCATTTTATTTCTTTGACATTAAGGTAAACTTCCTGTTTATATTTTGTATTAATTTATTGTTGCTAATGTAAAAATCAGATATTCTCACTACACCTTAAAAATTCTCTTTATAAATATCATATCATTATATAATTTGTAAGTGAAATTTATAAAAAGAATTCCTAAGTTAACAGAATAAATACCTAAATTCTTATAACTGAGTTTAGTAATTCTTAAACTTGTATAATTTAATATGTAAATATAATTGTATTATATTTATTTGTTTCTTATTCTTTACACATTAGAACATATTAAGATTTAATTGTAGAAATTACAATTAAAATTAATTATAAGTTTATCCAATTTTTATTTTTAAATTATAATTGCAAATGACATTTTTAAATTTCAAATATTAATATAATGTTACAACAGTATAAAAGTTTTTAATTTATTTTGAACAGAATTAAGTTCATTATAAATTGAAACATGCAGATATTTCACTACTAAGATTTTTCTTATTTTTTTCAGAAGTGTGTGAAGTTTTTTCTTTTAATACTGTATTACTAAATATAAATTGAGGAATTGAATCATATTTAAAAATTACTTATTGATAAAAATAAACAGTTTTCATTAAAATATGCAAAACAAATATAAGTACTTGCCACATGTTTTAAATCCTTTCTTTTATTTTTGAATATATTTTCATAACAAACTGGATTTTAAATGAGGAGAAATGACAATAACATTCCCTTTTTTTCTTGTAATATTTCTGTTGATATAGATTTATGTATGAATAACTAAGTATCTAAAATGTCATTTTGTTGTTACAAATTTTTTTACTTTTACCAAATCAATAGGTAAATTTAGCTTATAGTTTAGGTTCAATAATGTGTGGCCTACATTACAAGAAGTATGTTTTTCTCTTTATCAAGTTACTCAAATGTCACATGAAAATACCTTAATGAAGAAATCAGAAAAACTGCTGGTTGTATTGCAATTATTTCCCAAAAATTTGTTTAAAAAAATAATATAATTGTTATTAAATTTTTTTATTTATAGATTTATATTATTCGAGTGCAGCGAGGTCCTTTTGTAGATAATTCATGGCAAATATCTCGTCGATACAGTGACTTTGATGCACTAAATAATATGCTGCAAATATCGGGAGTTGAATTACCTCTCCCTCCAAAAAGAGTATTTGGAAAACTGGGCAGAGAATTTGTAGCTGAAAGGCAGCAAGGATTACAAGTAACGTTACTTTGATGATATAATTGGATAGATTAATTAATATTTGTAATAAATATTTAATGTGTTATATTTCTTATTAATTTAGAAATGTCCTTTAATGTTGTTTTAAGAGCTTTAAAATTCTCATTTTTTTTTGTAATTTATTTCAGCAATATATGAATACAATTTTATCACATCCAATGCTAGCTTTATCATTACCAGTTAAAAGATTTTTAGACCCAGAAAATTATTCACAGAACTTCTTAGGTAATAAATTTTTAAATTTTATTATGACTTTTAAAAAAATGTTTATATAATATATAATTTACTTTAAAAATGCTGTTGATTAATAAAACAAAATTTAAATTATGGAAATAATAGAGAATAATATATGTTTTAATGGAGTATAAAACAATATAGAATATCAATAAAAATATTTAAAAAATCGATGGAGTCAGATAAATTGTCTTTACCCAATTGTACTATTCACTAGTATACAGAAAAATAATTCTCCTTTCTTTTCTGAGTTTTGGAGTCTTAAAAATTCCAAGTCCTTATAAAAGGACAAACTGGTATAAAAACAAAAGGACAAACAGGTTAACTTAAGAGAAAAAAATATTTTATTTAACACTATACTTCACCCCAAATGCATTTCGCCTTTCTTTGGCTTCTTCAGCAGGGTTTCCTACTACCAGACTTGTGTGTAGCACAGTACAATCAGAATGTAATACAGCAGAAGACACATCATTAACAAAAGTACTATTGCATTTACAACTATTATATACTCTTCCCAGCATTCTGCGGGTATCACGCTGTTATTCAAATTCATAACATTATTTTACATAACTATCATGAAGTGTTCTTTGAATTTTCTTTTTACTATATTTTTTTCCTTATTTAAGATTTTTACATTATTAATATCAACTTGGCAATTATTCGCGTGACAATGTAAAAACACGGGAGACGTATTGACTTTAAGTCTCACTGCAGCCAGATGTTCCGACATTTTCTTATTTTCAGTTTCTTCTTCGTTTCACCAACATAATAGTTCGGTATTCCACATGTACACTGGAGTCTATAGATCACTCCTTCTTCCAATAGCTGTTTATCCTTGTAAGGTTATAGGTATAAGGTTATATAATATAGAATATAAAAAACTGATTTAAGTGCTCTTGGATTTGCATCTAAATTCAAGAATTTTTAGATGTCTTTTATTCTTGTGTCTCAAAGTATATATGTCATTAAAATAAATATTTATTTGCATTTTAAATTTGTAAGGTTTTCTGTATTTTACACAAATAATAAATCAAAAGTATATAATAAATAATAATAATAATAATAACACTGTAATTAGTTATTTACAATGACTTCTTTTTCATTAGATCCAAGATCATCATTAATTTGCAAAAATTATTTTCTAGATTTCTCAAATATATTGGAACAGAGACCAAACTTTGCTTCTGTTTTTGGCTTTTTAAAAGTCATATAATAATATTAGATTTGTTTTGTCATTTTATGTACATTTTATTATTTGTATAATGTAGTATTTACAGATGTTATGTCATCTATATATTCAGCTAATTTTTATTTATTATTTCTCTGCATATTTGTTTTATACTTGATTTTTATTTTTTTATTATAAATATAATTTACTGAATAATTAAATTTTAAAATAATTTCATAGTTATGCACGACTTGCAAATTTTTATTAACAAGAAAAACCACTTGGTGTTATATTACTGGACAAAATGCATTTTAAACATATTCTTTTTTCAGTTGTAAATTTATTGTGACATTTTCTACGTAAAATATTTAAAACATTTTTTAAATTTAACATTAAACTGACATAATATATCAAAGCATGGAAAAATATAATTTGCTTATATACAGTCTTTGTTACATGTTGTATAAATAGAAAAATATTATCACTGATTTTAGGTTTTAGTTAGTGGACATTTATTTGCTTTTGACTGTTTCACTGTTTAGACTTGGTGTAACATGTTTTTTGTACTTTTTATTTTTTCATGTAAAAAGTCATAAAATTGTTAAAAATTGTGAAACAGTGAAACAAGTTGTCATTTTTGTATTAAATTATTTTAAAAATTCTCACTAATTAATGACTTTAGAAAATAGGAAATTTGTATCTAAATTTTGTCTGTTATCATTTAGAAAATTTGTATCTCCAGGATTTAGAAAATATTCAAAACTCTAAAAAATGATTTCTTAATCAAATTTAAGTAAAAAAAAAAACTTTAGTTAATGAAAATTTAGTTTCAAATAAATTTTAAGTAGCATGAATATATAAGTTAACATATTTGCAAATGTTATAATAATGAAGTATTTTATTATGGAAATATTGTATATAAAAAAATGGATTCAACCTGAATTTGATTTTTGGAATATGAAGTCATTCATGTTTGATATTTCTAATTTATTATTAACTCTATAGATATATGAATTTAATTTAGTTCTTAATGTTTTATTTTTTCATAAATTTTTTGAACTGCAATTAAACATTTTACAAGCATCAGTAAATTTTGCATTTTTGGTTTAATTTCAATTGCATAGTTTTAATATTTGCTTAATTAAATTAATAATAATATGTAATTAAAAATGAATTTGGTTCATTTGTCAGTAGCATTTAGGTAAAGAAAATGCTAGAATATATTTTAAATTCTTCATTTTATTTTTATTTTTTATATTAAAGTTAAAATATTTTCTGAATAACTTTGCTGAAATAAAAAATTCTAGATTTTTTGCTTAAATTTATTCAAAAAATTGTCTAGAATTTTTTGAAAATGTATGCCAAAATATCTGTATTAAACTTTGGAGATACTGATGTATGACTATGTTCTAGGGATCTCAAAACTATGTTTAAATAGATAAAATACACAACAAAGGCCATATATTTTGACAAAGACACAAGAAAATCCAACAGAGTTGCATAACTTTCCTAGTTAAACTTTAAAACTGTATTGCACCATATGTTATGAGATTTTTATTTAAAAATTTTTTATATTTTATATTATTATGAAATGGCAAAAAACTTAATTTTGAGGGTAGAGACAAGTTTTTTAAAAAATTGCAAATGCTAATAATGAATCTCATACTCTCACACTCCAACATCCACACATATTGAAAAACCCCAAAATTTTTTTACATTTCTTAACATTTTAAGATTCCCTGAATTCAAAAATCTTGGAGGGTTAATTTTTGACCAATTGTCATACTTTCCCTCTATTATAAGTAACAGCTGGGAAAAGTACAAAAAAATAGAGTAAATTTATGTTAGAGTAAATTAGAAAATGGCATAAGAAAATGAATAAAAGCAGATAGGTGAACTTAAGTCATAAAAATATATTGTATATAAAATCAGAATTTAGAACAAATGAATGAAAATGTCAAATTAGTATAAATTGAAGTCAAATTTGTGAATATTTTTGTCATATGGCTGCTTGGATTTTTTTTCTGTACTATTTTTGAAACTTATACTACTATTGTAACTTTACAACATTAATATTTTATTAAAAATACAGTGAAATTCCATTAACTTGGCATTGTCAGAACAACACGGTATTAAATTATTGACTACTAGTAGCCCGGGATGCCCCCTAGTGGGCGTTCCAGCAGCATTACAAATTCCTGAGGCATGTTTAATGCACTTAATATATGAAAGTTGTGTGCGCTTAATGTTTAAAAGTTTGATGCAGTTTATATATAAATGTATACAATTCTTCATCTTAGAAACTAAACTTAAAATATCAATACACAAACAGCCAACTACAGTATTTGTACATGAGAAAGTGAATCTATTCTTTACTCAAAATTGTTCAAATAAATAGAATTAATATGATTAAAAAATCAAGTATAAATATATACAAATGTTCATGTTAAAAAGTAATGTTAACAGATCAATACACAGCAAATAGTATTTCTGTATTACAGACTGAAGATATTCTTTAGCTGTGTTCTGTATTCCATCATTTATCCCATCATAAAACTTCTGTATACACAACATTGTTGGGAAAAAAAAGTATAATTATTTGGAATCAATTTGCCTTGTTGTGACATTTTGTCTTCTGTGTCGTTTTGCTTCTGCCTGCCTGTGCAACATTGCAGATCTGAGCTCATGAGTTTCATTCTGCAAGCCTCCACGTGTTGATTGTGCTATTCTCTGTAATGTTTCCTGCGCACGTCTCTCCCTTTGTCTCGCAGCAGTGGCAGCTTTACGTTCCCCCACAGTGGCGTATTTCTTTGGTCGTGCCATGAAAGGTTTCTATTATTATATTAAAATATTAGCTTAACTATTTCACTTATCGTTTTATCGTAGCGGTTCAAATCTATCCGGTTTTTCGTTATTCGCCCCCTAGTGAACATTACAGGCATTCCGTGACAATAATAAATTCCTATTACAAATATACTGAATTATTTATATTGTTATATTGACCAAATAATAATTTATTGGCCAAATGAATAATAATAATTTATATTGTTAATTTAAATAATAATTAAAATTGTTAATTTAATTTGAATGTTTGAAATATGACACACGATAGGGGCGCCTCTAGTGTCGGTTATCAAACGGTTACGGGACGGACGGAAGGAAGGAAGGACGGACACCTGTTGAATGGGTTATATATATAGATAGATAGATACTGCCTTATCAGATAGTTAAGGTTTTTTGTTTTCCTGGATACAGTTTTACATATATTGACATGTAAAACTGTATAAATGCATTTTTTAATAATAATTAACATGTCATTTTCATTTTTTCATGCTATTTCTGCCTTTAGTTGGCTTGAAACAAGAACACACTATTCTTACTTTGTACATTTTTATTGCATATAAATACAAATTTACTCTAATTATCAAAGTAAAATACTGTAGCTGTTGTATTGTACCCTGTGATACTTATTGATTCCAAGTATGCTAAATATTTCTGCTTTTCATATCAAACCCATTCACTAATATATTTGGAAAAAGTTTTTAGAAAAATGCACAAGCTAACTGATTTTACCTAGCACATCATCATGTCATCTTGGTCTTCCCCTGTTTTCACAATGCTTATATCAGAAGTTGTTGATGATGATGGTAAAGAACAATGCACTGATAACCCCAACAACAAGTTTGATGTGGTTGCTTATTGGGTTTTCTGTCATACTGGATGCCAGGTTAATGGAATTTCGTCATACTCCAATTTCCTTAATATTTTATTTTAGTAAGAAGTAATTTTAAATTTATTTATTTTAAAACATGAAGTAATAATTATTATTTTTAACATTTACAAATAAAAATAATGATGATATGCTCTGTATTCTCGTATACAAATTTTGTATTTCATTCTGGGCACCACATCATAAGTTCTTAAATACTGATGTAGAATATAAAATTTTCAATTTGTAATTAAACAAGTTTTAAATTGATAAACAGCTGTTTTATTTTAATAAGTTTAAGTAATGCATATAATTATATATTTTTGTATTATTTATATATAAATTCTTTATTTCTTAATTTAGAGATAGCTCTTCAACATGTTTCAATGGTTTTTCGATCAGAATTGAGATGGGAAATAGTTGAACCTTTTCCAGATATAGGTATGTAATAGATATTGACAGAAGTTAGTAAATATTTTATTAATAGTTTTAAATATTAACATACTTTTAATTACACCCAATTAAAATTTATTATGATACATATATACATATATTTATTTATTTTCTATTTACAGTCATACAGAGTATATAGTATATAAAATAATTTCTAGTGTAAATTATTCCATTATGATGATGATGTAATAAGTCAGTTATATATATTTAATTAATTTTTATTGTTACAATGAAATAAAGAATATGCATTAAAAATATTTCTTTAATGCATTTTTTTCATTATATTTATAACTATTTCATTATATTTCATATATATTTATAACATAAAAAAGACTATATTTCTATGACAAATAAATTCTGATTAAAAGACAGTTTAAGGTTCTAGCAAGATAAATTCTATTTGAATAAAAACTATCATAGGAATAATACTTTTACTGCATTGCTTAAAATAAAGTGTAATATAAAATTCATTTTATACATTGATGCTATTAAATTGATTTTAATATTTTATAAAGCTATAAGTAGTAAAGCTTGGTTCCTGGGTCTTAAAATTTTGAAAAGTCAAACTTCAAAATTAACAAAAATATTTCCCAGGAAATGAAACAAGTTCCTAGGAACTTTGATTATATTAAATATTTATATTTATAGTCTGTTCTATTTATTTTATTTATATTTTATTCATTGTACTTTAAGTAACTTACAAATAACAGAAAGCAAAAGTTATTCTGAATATGTTAAAAGAAATTAAAATATATTAAAGAACTCTTAACTGACAAGTTACAACTTCTTAGTTGTTGAGTCAGCAAAACAGATCCGTATGTGTTTTTGCATGCCTTATATTAATTTTAAATCATTTTATAACTTTGTTTAATGATGTCAAGAATTAAAAATCTAGTGAATTTATTGTTTGGAAATATTTTGAACTTTCATTTCCTTTAAAAAAATGAGTAATGATGTCCAATGATTTGCACCCATTTGAAGATTGCAAGGTAACTCCAAGGATATTCAGATATTCAGTTAGTGATTTTGCTTATTAGAAGATGTTTTTAATGTTTTCTAATTAAAAAATTAAAT